CTGTTCTGCTTTTCCCAGCAAAAATTCAACTCTCGTAAGACGGCCCATAATTTGCTTCTACTGATTTTTGGCAAATCGTTGTCCTCTGAAAGTTCACTTAAAATTTTGTTTAGCGTTGGTATTTCTTTTTTAAAATAAAATGAGTGTACTTTTCTGCGAATGACATTTTTGAAGAAATCATCTATAACGACTTTTGACCTCCCTGTAGATTATTTTGGGGGATTTACAGTATCTTGTTCATTTTTTGTTTCCTTTAAAAGTCTGTAGATAGTCGATTTTCCAATCCCTGTCATTTTTGTTAGCATTAGTGTTACCCGATAATTACCTGAAACGAAATGTTACCACGTCCATGGCCGGTTCTTATCTCGGGGTTTTATTACTCTCTTTCATTTCCAAACAGACTATAATAAAAAAACTATTAAGTGTTAATTATGATTAAATTAGATTTCATAAGTACATTTTGACTGTATTTCAAATTTAAGCTGCAGAAAGTTTAAAATAACAATAGATTTAAACTACAGTGTTTCTACAAAACAGAAATTATTTTTTTTACATATCACGTCATATTTTTTTTATCAAAATCTCATTTTGTTCATTCCTTCTGGAATATACAGAAAAAATTTAAATAAATTCTTGTGACAAACAACTACTTGAGATATTGACGATCAACATATATGTGCACATATTTATATATTATTTATTATTCAGATGAATCTGATAAGGTATTTCACAAATAAATTACAAATCGTATCTCTACGAGTTAAAAAAACAATTTCACAATTTTGTGAGCACGGGAGTGTATTAAAATTAAATACACGAATGGTCTCAGTTAGATATTTTATACTTTTATTTAGGAATTGATTCTAGAAATGTTAACAAAAATTAAGAATTTGCTCTCATTTTGCCTCCATTTTTTTATGAATAAGAAATAAATACATACAGGTTGCCCAGATTTATATTAGGTGCGTTCCAAAATAAACTGGACTTTTCAAAAATAGGCATTTTTAGTGGTGCCATCTATCGGCAATTACATGCGTCAAAAGGTAGATCCTTCCCAAGAACGATTCTTGGATCCTTCCCTGATGTACTGTCGAAATTTCATGACATTTGGACGAATAGAAATGGAGTTATTGCATCTGAAGTGACAGTATGTTTGTGTCATCGGTACGAAAATGAGCATCGAACGAAGAGCTAATATTAAGTTTTATATTAAACTTGGTAAAACTGTTGCCGAACGTTTCAATTGATGAACCAAATTTATGGTGATGATTGTTTATCCCGCGGCAGAGTCATGAGTGGCATAAGTGGGTTAAAAACGGTCGTGAGGTCATAAATGATGAGCAGCATGTTGGCCAACCGAAATCTGTGTCTGTGATCACCGCAGATTCCATCAAAACCGTGTGTGAATTCATGAAAAATCAGCCAACGTCATCATTGAAATTCATGGAATTGAAAGTGAGCATCTCAAAAACATCGATTTATCGTATTTTGGCCGAACATTTGGGCTACCAAAAAGTGTGTGCACGGTTTTTTCCGCACAAGTTGACCTGACGACCAAAAATTGCTCAGAATTCAACATTCAAAGGACATCACCAAGGAGTCCACAAGGACAAAGACTTCCTTTACAACATCGTGACTGGTGATGATCCAGAAACCAAGAACCAAAGTGACGAGTGAAAGGCGCCAGATGAGCGAAAACCCAAAAAAGTCTCGTTTTCAGAAGTCAAAAGTGAAGATAACGTTGATTTGCTTTTACGATTCCAAGCGCATGACAAAAAGTTCGTTCCACCGGGCCAAACTGTTATATCTACACAATTCTACCTTGGCGTTTTAAAGCGTTTGGTGTATTCGTCGTATTCGGCCAGAATATCGCGTAGAAGGAAGTTGGTTTTTGTTGCACGATAATGCGCTGTCTCATCGATTGACACTTTTGACCAATTTTTCGACTAAAAATTGCATTTTAACTGTTAACGAAAAGCGTTTTGCGGAGGTAGAAGCCATCCAACCGGCTTGTACCGACATCCTGAAAGACATCCCGTCGGACGATCTAAAGCATTCATTCGAAATGTTTTTATACCATCCAAATCGCTGTATTGAGTCGGAAGAGGACTGACTACTTTCAATAAAATAAATCTGCTTTGCCAAATAACTTTTTGTTATTCTCATTTTTGGGTCGCACCTTGTAGGTCTACAGGCCGTTAACATAATGAGTAAAAGTCAAATATATTTTTTATTAGATATACTCTCAGAACATACATCGTTGGAGATTATAACTTCTTCAGAATTGCAAAAATAATGAAGACTTATAATATCAGCGAGTTTTGAAGTTTTATATCGAGAGATTTTCTGCACCGAAAGTTATTTTGAATTTCCACTTTAAACATGGGTCTCTGATTTTTTAAAATTTTATATGCAATATATTTTCATTTATTTCATTCTGTATTCATGTAATTTTTTAAATTATAATGTCATGAACAATTTGAACTTTTCGGTGAACATTACTTGCATAATTATTATTAATCGTAGATAACACAGGCACACAAAAAAAATTAATGAACCAGAGGGTAGACCCCACTATCTTAGGTTTTTGGGGTCACTGGAATCGAATATGACCATAAAAAATAATTTCAATTGCCCATTTTCCCGCTAGCACCCCTTATCACACCCTGAAGGGGGTTAAATTTTAAATTTTCGTTCAAAATTAAGATGTATGCGTATTTCTACGTTTTTTGGAACGCCGAAACCGAAAATGACTACAAAAAATCCACTTACTCGATTACCCCCTTACACTCCCTTATTACAATCATTTAAAAGAACCAGCAGGATGCATATGAAAGTTGGCTCTCGGTAAATTGCGCTAATGTTTTCGGAAAAAAGAGGAGAACCAAGGTCTTCATGGGCTCAACGCTCAAAATTCCAACGATCCAGTCAATTACTTGTTAATTAGACAACTTTAAGAGTACCTCCAGCTCCTATGTTGTAAACGTCAATACCTCACCGATCAGAAATATCAGCTCTAAAGATGTACTTATGATTTGGTTCGACTCTTAGCACAACCCAGGAATAACGGCGTGGACGTGGTAGGTTTCTGTTCCCTTTGGGGTGCTTGATTAACGTCAGTTCCCGTGCTTCTCACGATTCGGGGTGCTTGATTAACGTGAGTCCCCTTGCCTTTCACGCTTCGGCATTTACCTTTTTCTATGATACCGAACTCTCTTGCTTAAAATATCTTGCCTAGAATAAAGTGTCAATATCAAAATATCAAAAGGCAAAATAAACACGGTTATGATTAGGACAGAAATCATAATTCGGTTTTAACGTCCCAAAAAAACAAAAATTAACATACATCTTAATTTTGTACGAAAATTTAAAATGAAAACCCACTTCAGGGGTAGTAAGGGGGTGTTAGAGGGAAAACGGGCAATTGAAATAATTTTTTATGGTAATATTCGGTTTCAGCGACCCCAAAAACCTAAGAACAGTGGGGTCTACTCTCTGGTTCATGAATTTTTTTGTGTGCCTGTGTAATTGAAAAAAATCGCAGAAGGCCAAACCAAGAGGTGTAGGATAACATTGTGTTATTTAAATTTTGGATAAAGAAAATTGCTAATAGAATTTCTCAAGAACTGGCACCTAAAAATAAATAATTCGTAACTATATAACTTCCAAACAAGTGCAACATAAAAATAATACATTGGAATGTACAATGTTAATGGCCTGTCCAGGATGACCTAGAACTAGATATGGTTGGCCGCCATTACAGAAAAAACAAATGGGAAACCATATAGGCACGGATCTTTGTATAATGGTATAAGTATGACTTAAAATTCCATCTTGGAAAGTCCCAAGGACAGTGACGTCATCGAAATACATAATTTTTACATCACACGAATGTTCTCATTTTTCTCAATAACTTATTAAAAAAAGCGTTTTGATATCTCTTATTCCCATTCAAGATATATAAATGGTATACAGGCTGTTATAAATTCGCTTATCACTACAGGGATCTCCGGTAACGTTTCGTCTCTCCAGGACCATCATCAACTTCAATTTTTTATATACGACCTTGGAAATTTTATTACATTTTTTGCAAGCCTTCGTGACCCCCAATACTGTACTGCCTCAGCTCGAACCAAATTCAGACGTTTTGTCTCGAAAAATTCATCTTCGGTGTATTCGTTCCAAATTTATCTAAATCTTTTAGTTAGATTTCTTTCCAGTTATTTAAACTTCTTTATCACCACAAACAAGGATGAAATGAATCAAAAACGGATTTCCAAATTTTCGTTTTTTTTTCAAATATTTCGAAAACTAATCATGTTATCCTTGATTTTTTATAGGCATAATGTTGGTCCCCCGATTACGCAACTTTGCCCCCATTTAAGCTACTTCGTAGCTCTTACCGTTTCCGAGATACCTGTAGTGAGAAGCGAATTTGTAACAGCCTGTATACAGACAAATCCACTGGTTCCATCAAGTGTAATACTGAATATGTATTTATATTCATTACTGACATAAATGATTTGTTTCTATATAGCCATACTGATAAATTCTAATATTGCTAAGATTCGATATAAGACATAAAATGAAAAAAAATATTTAAGAAATAGGATTTGCTATTTGCTCTTTCCATCTCCCTGTAATGGCGGCCACCCATCAATTCTGGATCACCTTGGACGTCCATGAAATGGAACACGCTGTATATATCAAAACCAACTAGAAATTGTCTTTTCATATATCCTAAATAACAACGCTACTGAAAATATATATGTTTTTACTTTCTTAGATCATTCCTCATTCACCTGCCATGCCTATGGAGGATTTTTTCGAAAAATATGTCCCCGCGAGCTGTATGCCCTCAGATTTAGGTGGTGAACTACCCACTTTGGACCAATTGAGTGAAGACACACAAAACGAATGCAGAAAACTGAAAACATTCCTTGAAATGGAAGAAAAACAAGTCCAATTGTACAAAAAAGAGAAGTAGTGTTAAGTACAATCGTTGTTAACTTATTGTTTAATAAAAAATGCAACACAAGTTTCCTGTTAATTTTCCCCTTTACATTTCTCTTCACAATAACAATAACCGTAAAAAAACACCCATAAAAAAATTTAAACCCCGCCACTGCGTATTTATTTAAAAAATATACGAGTAGATATGACAATCATATAAATTACCATTTTTACTAATTTGAATCGTTGCACGGCGACGTGTGATTGGTTCGTTGCCGAGAAACTCTTGAGGCAAAGATAAGGGTATGCAACTTGACGGACACGTATGTAACACACATAAACTGACCAATCAGAACGAGCCAAGTGACAGGAGTTAAAAGTGAGGTATGTTTATTTACCGAGCGGCTACCTGCTGTTAATTAGAGTAAAATCAACGGTCTAAAAAGCCACAAGTACGACTGACAAACGCTAGTGATCGAAAAAATATGAATATTTTGTTCGTTTTGGGTGTACTTTGTTTAACCATCGGCGTGTCTTCGGCCACGGCCATTTGTAAGGGCTGTGTCAGCATCGACGAACACAGTTTCGAGAAAGTTTTACCTAGATTTGAAGTCACTTTACTAAAATTCGACGACTCCTATCCGTACGGCGATAAGCACAACACCTTCACTGAGGTAGCTGCCGATATTGCGGACAATAGCAATATTATTTTGGGGCAAGTTGGTATTAAGTATTACGGTGAGAAAGACAATTCAGAATTCGCGAAACAATTCGGGATACACTCGAAAGAAGACCTGCCATCTTTAAGGCTGTTTGTACAAGGTGAGGATGAACCTTTCGTATACTCTAAAAACATGCCATGGACCCAAGACGACATCAAAAAATTCATTCGGGATCATACGAATATCTACTTGGGCCTACCGGGTTGCCTCGAGACATTCGACAAGTTAGCTATGAAATTGACCACGTCTAGTGACAAAGAGGCTATCCTCAAAGAGGCTGAACAGGAGGCAGCAAAATTGAAGGTGGAAGTAAGTAGAAAAAATTTTTTTTTTAACAAAACTTCGACGTTTCGAAATCAAATAGTTTTAAATGTATTTCTCATGTGGTAATTTTTTTTACAGAAAGAGAAGAACACTGCCAAAATATACATAAAACTCATGAAAAAAGTGATAGAAGGCGGAGTGTCCTTCGTGACCCAAGAAGAGAAGAGGCTTACTAAGCTCCTCGATGGCAAAGTCAATGAGAAGAAAAAGCAAGAACTTCAACAGCGCCTAAACATTTTGAGGTCTCTGGAGCCGAAGCCTGCTAAAACGGAACTTTGATGGCGATGGATACTTTATTTGTATCTAGTTGTTTTTGTAGTATTTTGCTCATATTTTCCGAAAAAGCGAATAGATTTAGAAGTATATAAGTATTTAACGCAGAAGATACAACGCCACAAGTAATTCATAAAATTTATGAAATTAAAGTATGGCGTTGTTATCTTCCGTACTGTAGGACCAAATACCGAGATGCTAGCTAGTGTTCCTTAAGTTCCACGACTGATTCCGTTTTTGTGATAAGCTTCAAATTTCCCGTACTATTAGGGTACAAATCGTCTGAATTTTATATCTTTTTGTTAATGTTATGTGTATACAGTTGAGGTTTTTAAAAATGTAAGATTTTTAATATACTTATAATGGTTGTGTATGGTTGTCTTTAAAATATATTTTATATTACGACACTAATTTTTTTCTTATACAGGGTGTTAGAAGTTTGACTGCCTTAATTTTAACAGACGATAGAATACATTAAAATAAACAACAAAGCCATATATGACATGGGTCCTAAACTCAACCATTTCTGAGAAAAAAAAAATATCAAAATCTACTTGAACAAAAATTTTATTAATTAAGGAATATTGAGATAACTGCCTGCATAGAATACCATAAAATATAATGTTTATCACTTTTTTGAACTTTATGCTTAATTCTAAAAAATAATTAGTGTAATAAATTTAAAATTCAATAAAATCCATATCAGGCAATGTGACAACAGCGCTGCGGTTTATTAACACGAGGTACTAAGGTGTCCAACAACCACCAATATGCAATTTAGTTGGTATCTGGATTTGACCGTGTTGGAGTGTTTTTTGCGTACCACTATTTCCTTTTCTTGAGGTGTTTTCCAGCGAGTGAATGAAATTTGGATTCGAAGGTTCAAATTCGAATTTTGATTTTTGGTAAGTACATAAATTATTTTTAATACGTATGGTTATTTGGACGTGAATTTTTGGGTACTTTAATTACATATTTTTCAAATTCATAATTTAATTCAAAGTTAAGTTCCTGTTTTAAGAAATTCATAATTACTAAAATTCGAGCTAAAATTTAAGCACACTATCTTCGTACGACAAAATCGATACATTTTATTTTATTTATTTAAAAACTGGAAAACAATTGTCTTGAAATTTACTAAATGTTCCACAATAATAGTTGTTTAGTTTTGCTAAAGTTTTGTTTTGATGCCGTAATTCTGGAAACTATTATAATTTTTTTTTGTAATTATCTTCTTATATAGACATTATTGTTATTGTATGCTTAGCAGGAAAAGCATTTTACAAGACTTTCAACGACATGTCATAATTGCAGAAAAATACAATAAAATTCTAAAAAAAATGGTGTAAAAACATAAGAAACATGCTGTAAAAACATAAGAACAAAGAATGTTGCAAAAGTGGTATTGTCGGTTTCTAGGAACTATAACACTGAACAAAAATAGTGTGATAATAAAGTTTTTACATATATTTTAATTTCATAAAAATAAATAGATGTTTCCCTTTTCTTTCAAAATATCAGAAAAACTCAGTCGGAGCCAGTCTGCGAGTGCCATTAAATTAGTAACACAATGGTCTAAAATCTAGGAGTATACACAAGTCCGGAAATCTAATACCTATAGGTATAATGCCCTAGCCAATTTATTGATTTTTCCTCCAGTTCTATAGATTTTTTAAGTTTGAAAGTGTGAAAAATATTTAATTATCTTTTTAAAGACTCAATGTTTTCATGGTAGAAAATTGTTATATGGTGAAAATATTCGTCATTTTTTTGTGCTACATATTTTGCCACTCATACTACAATACTTGATAAATTGCTAGTAGGCGCTGATTTGTGTCCAATCATCAAACCTTTGCAAAATCGAGCAATTCATTTCTACATGTCAAAACTGAATTTTAGGGACAACTTCCATATGACTCCTAGAATTGAGGTAAAAGTAACATTGTGAAAAATAGAAAAAATTATAAATTGATAAAAATAAACTATAAAATATGTTCAAAATAGTCGCCGTTTTTTTGTACACAAATAAAAAGTTAAAGTGGAGTCGATTCATGGTTTCTGTACCATTTTTACAATTACATTTACAATTTGTCCAGTCTAATTAGAGAATATTAATTAATTAATGTAATACCACTATTATGTGTACCCTGTTCAAAACTATATATTTTTTAAATTAACTGGAAGGCCTATGTTCTGAGCCCATCTCTGTCGTAAAAATAAGCCAATCATTTAGTCCGTCTCTGTAATAAAAATCGACCAATCATTTCGTGGCTTGTAGTTCTGTGATTGGCGAAAACTTAACCTGTCAAATTAATCAAAATTTCGTTAGTGGCTGGTATTAAAGCAAAACGCCGAATTTCCTCACGATTCAAGTAAACATCAGCATTTACTGACACGGAAAACTTGAAAAATGAGCGAGCTTATCGTAAGTAGAACGTTTTTATATGCCGTGTAAGCGCTAAACCGCGTGGGGGGAATTTAACCTAAAATTTTGTGTTTATTGTATGCTTTCAGGAACTCAGTCCCGAAAAGGAGAGAAAACAGAGTGAAAGCAGCGACACTGAGTATGATCCCCAGTTTAAGCCCATCATTACATTACCCGAAATAGAAATTATCACAAATGAGGAGAATGAATCTGAACTTTTAAAAATACGTGCCAAACTCTATCGCTTTGACTCTGTCATCGAACCGCCAGAATGGAAAGTAAATAAATCTCTAACAATGCCTAGACTTGCTGAATAAAATCGTTATATGTTTTAGGAGAGAGGTACCGGGGAGCTGAAGATATTGCGCCACAATGAAAACAACTCTGTTAGAGTCGTAATGCGTAGAGATAAGACCTTGAAAGTCTGTGCGAACCACTTCATTACCCCTTGGATGGAGCTAAAGCCGAGTGCAGGGAGTGATAAAGCTTTCGTGTACACTGTTTTAGTCGACTTTGCAGACGAAAAACCTAAATCAGAGTGTTTAGCTGTTAAATTCGGAACAGTAGACAGTATGTATCACATTACCATAAAAATTGAAAATGCTAACAACTTTCTTTCAGATGCGAACTTGTTCAAATGTAAATTTGAGGAAGCGAAGCATATAGTAGCAACGGAATGCGACTTATACAACGGCAAGGGTGACAAGGAGAACGAAAACAATATTTCTTCCGAGGAAGAAGAAGAAGAAGACGCAGATTTGAGTAAGGACAAAGTAAAATCTACCGAATGTGCAGAAGTTACCCAGAAGATCAGCGAGCTGAAGGTAACCAGTGACGAGACGAAATAGCCCTTTCTGTTAAGTGTGTGTGCGTTATTTAACATAGATTTCACTTATATTTGCTATTTGATTATTACATTATCTTACGTTTAATTATATTGTACGGAATTTGTTAGGATCAGTCAGATTTAATACTTTACCAAGATGTGTGCAAGTTGAGGTGTGCGGTATGTTGTAAAGCATTCCAGATTCCAATGAATATATTTTTGTAAATTTTGCATTATATAAGGATATATGTAGATCTGGTAGCACTAATAATTGATTGTTCTGCATTTGTGAAAATAAACAATTTTGTAAATATCAGTTTTACCTTTCTGGCGTCTTGGATCAATTTATTTCAAAAGTTAATCAAATATACGTTTATTTTTTCCAGAACCTTAGCAACTATAGGGCCTTCATAAATGTTTACAAGCCACGTGACCGCCGAGCTTAAGCAACCCTAAATCTTGGCGTTATTAATATTAATAACTGGTTTACAATGAACAATGACAAACCATTACGTTTAAACTCGAGATCATGCGATCACTGACTGATTGAATAGAACCTCGTGAAAATTACACCAATCACCAGCTAGTGACACAGTTTTAATGTAATTTTGATCTCGTTTTAATAATTTTAAATTTTACCGAAATTGGAAATGACATTTATCTCTATCAGCCGACTTTTAGAAAACCCTGTAGGTACTCATACTCATTTGATGACTCGTTTAACACCTGAAATATCCAGCGCACACACGTGTATGTGTAAGGAATCGAGTTACTTTCGAGGCTGCATAACATTAGCTAGCATTGCCAGATGGAAAAAATAATTGACCAAAGGATTATATTATTATTTCTTACATTATAAAACTTTTCTACTATTTTATCAAGAGTGAAAGAGAATAAATCTTACGCTATTGACCTTAAAAGTTTACATATTGTATCGTTGTGAAAGCAATTAATAATTGTGATGAAGTAATTTAGTTAACCTAAAAAATATAGTTGCAATATTTCCAAGAAAGTAAAAATTTCCTAAAAGTAAATAGTAGGTGCGGAGCACCCATGACTGTAGACATCAAAACTACTATCACTGCAAAAAGTATTGAGCCCCGACTTCAAATGTATCTAGGATGTCCAAAAATATTACAATAATGTATCGAATATAAGCAGATAGCTAAAAGAGTTGATAATTTACATTCAGAATATGAAAATAATAAAAAAATAATCATCTTTAACATAAACAATTAAATATTCAAAAACTACGATTTTGGGATAAAAAAATTTAACTATTTTTATGTGTCAGCTGAGTTAATAATTATTGCATTAATGTGTTGAATTTTTTCTGCAATTATTGAACCTTTCTAACAACTCTGTATCTTAATTTGCACGGAAGATTTTTGCAATTATTTATTGTAAAAATTTCTTTTTCTCGGTAAACTGTTTACAAATGTTCAATGATTGTAGAAAAAATTTACCGTATTAATACAATAATTGTTAACAACACACACATAACACTTAAAAACATAGTTTCATAATATGTGGTTTCATGTACTTTGAGTCTCGGTTAAACCTTGATTAACTGATCAGGGGATTAGGCTGTGAATATACTATTATAAAATAAATCAGTATATGTACAGTCTAATCGCTTAATCAGTTAAACAACTCTTTTATCCAAATATGTAAAAATATACAGGGTGTTCCATTTTAAATTAACAAAGTTAATATCCGTGTCCATTTTATTTGGATTTCATTTGTTTTTTTACGATCATTTTCGAAAAATTTACATTATTTACAAAAAATCGTGCAACTTTTCTATTTCACATTTTTTTATCTGTTAAAAGAAAAAAGTTAAAGGGGGAGGTCAAAATATAGTGAATCCCCATGTACATACAACTTTTTTATATTATTGATTAAAAAAATTATTGGATATTTTGTGATGTATTGACTTTTATACTGTTAGGTCTTCCTCCAATAGATATTTTGAAAGCGTTCAGAGCTGTATGCAAGAAAAATTTTAAATGATAGCTAAAACAAGCTAAAAACCTTAAGCGATTACAATAATAATATCATTTAATTCAGAATTAAAAATGAATGTAGATTTTGTCATAAAAGTAGCAGCGACGAATTTAAAAAAATTAACTTGGAAGATAAAACATCGGATTGCAAAAATGTTAACGCCATTAGATAGAGCAAAAAAAGTGGTATTGTAAATATACAATTTATTTTAAAATTCGTTTTCAAATAAAACCAGAAAAGATAAAACGATTTTGCAAAATTTCGTGTTTTTCCGAAAATCTCCAGAACTACCCGGAATTTTAAAACTTTCTAAACGGCATATTGCTAAGTATAAAAAAACACCCCCTTCTTACCGTTTCCTAGATCCTAATGATATCCCATGTTTATCTTGGACACACTGTATTTAACTCATTATCGATTTTTTTGTACAGGTTACACACATTTGACACACAGTCAGGGCTTAATATTTTTTTTTGGCAATAGTAGTTTTTGATGTCTAGTCATGGGTACTCCGCATCCACTATTTACTTGTCGTGGGTGCTGGAGCTCCCAAGCACCCAGAGTCGTCGCCCCTGATCTCTACTGCTGATTTGATTGTTCTCATGACACATCTGATGGTGTTGGAGCGCATTGTCTGCTAAATCGCAGCACCCATGCTATTTCTAGTCTGTTACATGGCAGCACACTAGTTTTTTTGACAAGTTGCTTCAATTGTTTAGATCGTCATACTGATGACATTTCTTAAAAATTTTGGAAAATATCAAATATTTGTCGAGGTGTATGAGTTTATGTTTATGTATGGTAATGCTTTCAGAAAGTAACAGTGGAGTCGCCACATTACATGTTTATAGTCGTCATGGTAACGAAGTTAACAATAATTACGGTAAGTAACTCTTTTGATTTTCACCGAACCTTTATTCTTCTTGACTGCCAAATTTTAGGAACTTATTCATTCCATAGTTAACAAACCTTACCTATTCTTTGTCTAATCAAAAGTAGAAATGGACATAAGATGGGATTTTGATAAAATTCGGCGAGTCACAAGAGTGTAAACATAAAATCGCCCGAATTACGATAAGTCGTCTAATTTGACCACATTGTACTGGATACGTGAGACCACACCCACCATCCCAGTGCACAAGCGTGGCGTTGTGTGCAACAGTATAGAGATGTACCCTAGGCCACGCCCTCTACCCCACTCCACAGAACTAGAAGTGCGTACAGCAGTACTGACATTACCGGTAACACAAACAGGACATAAAGTAACTGTACTGTGCACGTAGCGGCAACGACGCTATAAGGCCGATGATGAGGTCCCAAGCGGCATCAGTCGTTTTCATAGAGTCACTGAAAATGCAGTGAGGAACAGCGAAACGTTTGAAATCTCTGGATCAGATCACTTTGGAATGTCTCAGAGGAATAAGAATTGAAATCGATATAAGTGCGGGTCTGGGAATTCTAATAGCGGGTTCGCCCCCACAGAGCCTAGCCCGAGAACAATTCTAATCATCAACCTACAGAATGGTACAGTTCATACTCCCTGGACTGTGTATATACAGAACACCAAAAATTGTGTAGACACAAACGACAATCTAGTCATTTTACACTGATGCCACATATTTTTCTAAACGGCACAATAATTTGCGTGACATATGACATAATTGACAATTTTCAGGAGAAGTTCGAGAATTAGGTCCCATTTTTGAGTAGCTCAATTGCTTAATTCTAAGTGTATAAATTTTTTTTCAAACAATTTATCCCGAAAAGCACATGTAATTCTAACGAGTGCTCGCTGCTGGGAAAAAGTTATTGGATAGGCAATAATTATTAATACAACAAGAAAGATTTTATTTACTTTTTGGTTTTTGGATCTGCGTACTCTAAAAGGTTCTTCACGACGATCTCCTCTATGGCCTTTTCAATGTCCTCCGTGGAAGTGTGTTTTTCCGAGATGTGATTTTTAAGCAGGTACCTCCTGTGAAATTTCTCGCCGCACTCGTCGCACGAATATTGGGGCGGTCTGTCGTGGCCGTTTATGTGTTGCTCCAACTCCTCCCCCGTTTTCATCCTCTTCCAACAAATGTTACACCTGAAAGTAAAAAATTATATCCGTAGAGAACAGATCCGACCTACTTCCAAGTTCAGACGCACCTGAATTTATTTTCGGAATCGCTTTCGTGTAACTTTTCGTGTCGCTTTTTGTTGTTGGGTACGCTAAACGTTAAGTCGCAATATTTGCATTTGTACCGCTTTATTTTTACGTGGCTCTCCAGGTGTGCCTTTAGAAGGTGCACCGAGCCTATTTCCCTGTTACATACTCTGCAAATAACGGGCTTACCTAAAAAACATTAATTCTAATTTTTAACCCCGTTAAAATATTTAGTTTCTTCGTTATTTTGTACCTGGATTTTTCAGACGAATCCCGTGTTTGGGTAGTTTTGTTGATTTTGGCTGGCCATTTTTCTTTAAACCGCAATGATCAGCCTTATGCTTGTCTAAATAATCTTTACGGCCATATTTATTTCCACATATAGAACATATGTATGGTTTTAACTTTAAATGAACTAATCTGAAAAAAAAACATTGGGCATCAAAAGTAATTGATGGTCTAAATTAGCGATGTAAATATGTATTTGCTTCATAGAGCGAAAAAAGAGGCTGTTTTTACACTTAAATATTATTAAATTAATAAATTTCATGTACTACCATTTGAAAAATACTTAGTAAATGAAAACCCAAGTGATTTCCTCAGCACAGTCATGAACAATTTTTTCTTAAACAATAAAAACTGCAAAAAATTACATTTCTTTGTATTTTTTATAATATCTCGAAAAATAATAATGGAATCGTCTTGCTCTCAATAGGACTTTTGTAGAGTATAAAAAAACCTATAAAATGGTTTTTTGTGCGACCCGATCGGTTAATTTTTTACAAAGAAAATCCGGAAAAACCTCTAAAATATACCTTTCTTCAAAGATTCATAACTCCATCAAATTTGAAGTTGGAAAAACAATCTTGAGGAAAATGACAGATAATAATATGTAGTTTAATCGTGCGCAAGATGGTTTCTGTCCGATGCATAGTTTTTGCACAACTGCATTATAAACAAATTAGGGTCTTTTTTGCACAGTGTGGCGATTTATCAAAAATGGTCGGATTTAATTTCTGAAAATGACATCTGAAAGTAGGCGACAAAATCTCCAATTTGTATATATTGGATTTTCGTCTGGGCAAGGGAAAATATGCTAAAAATGCCCTTGAAAGTAGCCTTAAACGATCGAAAGTACGCTCGAGCCAGACTCGGGTAGCGGTAGTGGGGGAAGCAGTGAGCGGAGGACTAGGAGGAAAGACCCTGTCATTTTCCGCAAGATTGTTTTTCCAGCTTCAAATTTGACGAAGTTATGAATTTTTGAAAAAGAGGTCCATTTTAGAGGTTTTTCCGGATTTTCTCTGTAAAAAATGAACTGATCGGGTCGCACAAAAAACCATTTTATAGGTTTTTTTATTCTCTACAAAAGCCCTATTGAGAGTAAGACGATTCCATCACTGTTTTTCAAGATATTATAAAAAAAAACAAAAAAATTTCATTTTTTGCAGTTTTTATTGTTTAAAAAAAAATTGTTCAAGACTTTGCCTGGGGAAATCACTTGGTTTTTCAATTACTAAGTATTTTTCAAAAGGTAATACATGAAATTTGCTGCAAAAAATCTCTATTGGNGTTTTTACACTTAAATATTATTAAATTAATAAATTTCATGTACTACCATTTGAAAAATACTTAGTAAATGAAAACCCAAGTGATTTCCTCAGCACAGTCATGAACAATTTTTTCTTAAACAATAAAAACTGCAAAAAATTACATTTCTTTGTATTTTTTAAAATATCTCGAAAAATAATGATGGAATCGTCTTGCTCTCAATAGGACTTTTGTAGAGTATAAAAAAACCTATAAAATGGTTTTTTTTGCAACCCGATCGGTTAATTTTTTACAAAGAAAATCCGGAAAAACCTCTAAAATATACCTTTCTTCAAAAATTCATAACTCCGTCAAATTTGAAGTTGGAAAAACAATCTTGCGGAAAATGACAGTTAATAATATGTAGTTTAATCGTGCGCAAGATGGTTTCTGTCCGATGCATAGTTGTTGCACAACTGCATTATTAACAAATTAGGGTCTTTTTTGCACAGGGTGGCGATTTATCAAAAATGGTCGGATTTAATTTCTGAAAACGACATCTGAAAGTAGACGACAAAATCTCCAATTTGTATATATTGGATTTTCGTCTGGGCAAGGGGAAATATGCTAAAAATGCCCTTGAAAGTCGCCTGAAACGAAACGAAAGTACGCTCGAGCGAACTGATCGGGTTGCACAAAAAACCATTTTATAGGTTTTTTTATTCTCTACAAAAGCCCTATTGAGAGTAAGACGATTCCACCACTATTTTTCGAGATATTATAAAAAAAACAAAAAAATTTCATTTTTTTGCAGTTTTTATTGTTTAAAAAAAATTGTTTAAGACTGCCTGGGGAAATCACTTGGTTTTTCAATTACTAAGTATTTTTCAAAAGGTAATACATGAAATTTGCTGCAAAAAATCTCTATTGGTTGGCCTATCAGCCTCACATTTTTTATATTATATTATTTATGTATTAACATTACTTATATCTGTTAGTTTTTGTTTTACAGTATTTTACTTCGACTGTGAATTAATTTTGAGAGATTTACAATAGATGGCGTAAGTTATGTTATATCGCATCCGACTTTTCTGTAACTATATTCACGGCAAAGCTCTGTCACTAGAAGATGTTGAAAAACAAGCCAACAAAACATCATTTGCGATAAGTGTCCCTTTTCCTGTTTAAGGAGGTTGGATACCAAAAGAAAAATGGTAAGAATGTTTTCAAAGCAATTGAAATCTGTTAATAAATATGCAAACTGACTTGTGTAAAAATATCAGATCGATTGACAACGTAGTTTTTTTGAAAAATGATTTTAAAAATTATGCTTTTTACACAGGCTCTTATGGGAGTTGGGACAAAACTTTAATCAAACGAGAATATTGCTCTTAAAAATGGTTAGGATCGGGAAAATAAAATTGTAAATAAAGAATTAAATATTACTAAACATTTTAAAACAATAAAAATATGCACTTACAATGTAATTATTGAGATAATGGAATGAATATATAACGTTTTGACAAATTTGAACAAACATCTGATCCAATGAAAGGAAATATGGCAACACTGTACGCTGTATTTAATGCTTCGACTGATGCGTTATATTTAAATAGCTCGATTATAGACTATAAAATTATTCCAGTCGAAAATATATGTAGTAATAATTAATATTAAATAAATTTTTCGTGATCTAAAGCAATATACTAGCAATTTGAAACAAAAATTGAAAGGATCTCTTTGCAAAACGAACAGT